GGCAATGGTTGTGCTCCTGCAGCTGCGCAGCAGTGAGCAGCGGGAAGAGTTCTCAGCTTCAGGCAACCTAGTCAAGGGAAGGGTGTGGAGGAGGAATTGGCAGGGATCACCAGTCGACCACTTGGTGGCGGCTGGTGCCATCAGCTCGACAGGCGGCGGGGTGCTACGGCAGGTACAAATAGGCCAGAGCATCCCACTCTTTCAGAAGGGGGTGGCACGGCTGATAGTGGTTGCCCTTTTCCCTCTAGGTGCTTTCCTGGTTCTTCCCTTGGCCTGAGTGACGCTGCTTTGCCGCCACGCGACGTGTACCCTGCCTCGTTTGTACCGGTACCGGTACCTCTCTCTTGTGTGTGTCTTATCCACCATCACCAACACCACTGCCCGTCGCCCATCCATCACACCACAGCTCACCACCACGACAACCAGTCAAGCTGGACACCGTACAAAAAGCCAGAGCATCTACTTTCTCCGACACCAGCTCGGCTCATCAACCATTGAGTCGCTTTTGCAATACCGTCAACCACTTGCAGCTCTTACGATACATATCCCTTTCGTGTTCTCACTTTGGCAACTCATCGGAGCCCGATCACCGAAGACGCCGGGGTAGAAAAGGAAACGAGAACCTTCATTCAGGTCAACTGCTCAGTCGGTGTCACGGTACCGTGTGCCTTGCCTACCTTAGACCTAAGCTTCCCAAGGTGCACCTAACCTAGGTAACCTAAGGTAGGGAGCCCCTCGGCACTCGTTGAAGCTCCAGCTGTGCCCCTTACCTCCGACGGGGCGCATACCGGTCTGAGCTTTACCCGGAACAATCAGCCTCCGGATCTCCGCTTCTCCTGGTCCGTGCTCTAACCGCGACACCCGACCCCACTCCGCAACGCCTGGACTCGCCGGTTGGCCCTTCCTTACCGGACCTCACCTTGCCTTGCCTTACCTACTACCCTTTCCGTTTGCAGCCTGCGTCACGCAGCAGCACGCTCCAGCAAGGCAGACCCACCTGTCCTCCGCCATCTACCTAAGGTAGCGTGAGGTACCTTACCTGCATCCACAATCCGTCCAGGTCCAGACGCCTCCACCACCAGAAATCCGAAGCTCCAACTCTTCCACCATCCAACGACACAACACCTTCGACAAGAAGCAAACGCCCGACTCGGAAATACACGAGCCAAAGCAATCAACCATCCGCTCAATTATTCGCGACAGCAGCACCTGTCGTTGTGCAAACACACATTTTCGTCCAATTGCGTCATCCGTCGCCAAAGTCAATTGCGCCGGCCACAAGACACCCAGAGTTCAGACCTCGACCCGGTTGGGTTCTCCAACTCGTCCCGAACTCCCGCGCCTATTCATCTGCCATCTCTGTCTCCCATATTCAGAACAAGTCAACTCGAACATCACCGCTCCCCTCAACCGCGCACTGTCGCGCAACGCTCCAGAGCTGTTTCGCCTGTTGCGTTTCTTCCACTCGACGCGCATAGCTTAGGGGCCATGGGATTGGAGACATCACCGGCACCTTCTTTGACCGCGACCGGGGGAGTCCCTTTAGGTTAGTAGTTGCACTTTGCTTTTGAGTCCCGCCTCTGCCGTCGTCATTGAATTGCAAACTATCCCATCGTCGCTCCCTTCAGACTGACACCCACCTACCCTCGACCCGCGTCCTCAACCCGTGCACGCGTCTTATACCACCAACAGAGCTGACTTTTACCTTTTCTTCGCAACAGACTTTTAACTAGTCCTCCCGGTTAGTAACCCATCGCCATGGGTAAGCTACTATCTCTCGGCGCGCGCTTGCGCTACCCGATTACCATTACAAAAATTCTCAAGAAACCCGGCGACGCTGTCGCAAAACAAGAGAGCGTCCTTGAATATTCCTTCAAGTGGATGCGCGAGGTCGGCGACTCCATCGCCGGCAACACATGGCAGGAGGAGGAGACAACAGTTGTCGGCTGGGACAGTCCTGCCGAGGGCACCATCAAGGAATGGCGCCTCAAGGAGGGCATGACCTTCACACGCGACGCGCCATGCATGGTTGTCGAGGAGGCCTGTTCTCACGAGATCCAGTTCCAGGGTCTCTGCGCCATTTGCGGCAAGGACATGACCGAGGTCAACTGGGCCAGCGACCAGCGCGATACCCAGCGCGCCACCATCAATATGACACACGACCAGACGGGCCTCATGGTCAGCGGCGACCTCGCTGCGCGCGCCGAGCACGATACCCAGAAGCGCCTGCTCCGCCAACGCAAGCTCAGCCTCGTCGTGGATCTCGACCAGACCATCATCCACGCCTGCATCGAACCTACCGTCGGCGAATGGATGGAGGACCCGACAAATCCCAACTACAACGCCGTCAAGGATGTCAAGAAATTTCAACTGAATGACGAGGGGCCCAGAGGCGTGGTCACATCAGGCTGCTGGTACTATATCAAGATGCGACCTGGGTTGAAGGAGTTCCTCGAGAAGATATCAGAACTGTACGAACTTCATGTGTACACCATGGGAACTCGTGCCTATGCGATGAACATCGCCCAGATCGTCGACCCTGATAGGAAACTATTCGGCAACCGGGTAATCAGCCGTGACGAGAACGGAAGCATGATCTCGAAAAGTCTCCAGCGCCTGTTCCCAGTTAACACCAATATGGTGGTCATCATCGACGACAGAGCCGATGTGTGGCCCCGTAACAGACCAAACCTGATCAAGGTCGTTCCCTACGACTTTTTCAGGGGCATCGGCGACATCAACTCGAGCTTTTTGCCCAAGCGTCAAGACATTCTCCCCGCGCCTGCCGACCCCGAAGTCAAGCCCGTCCCAATCGCTCCCGCACCCGAGGTAAAGACGAACGGCAAAGTTTCGGCCATCGACGAGTTGGTCAGCATGAGCAGCGGGGAGGATAAGGCCTTGCAAGCCGCGCAAACGGAGCAGCAGGAAAAGTCTTTGGAGCAGCAGATCAAGGACCGTCCTCTACTCCACATGCAAGAGCAGCTGGATAAGGAAAGCGAAGAGAAGGAGAAGGCGACACAGGAGACTGAAGATGGTGAGCACATTATGATAGTGCAACACCGATCACAGGTCCTCCGCGACGACGACGCGGAGCTGATTTACCTACAACAACACCTCACTCGTCTCCATGAGAGGTTCTACAAGGAGTACGACGAGAAGCGTGCAGCCGCGCCTCGGCAGTCAACCCCTCCTAAGAAGAAGGGCGAGGAGACCGTCGATCTTGCCGCTGTTCCCGATGTGGGATATGTCCTGGACACGATGAAGGCGTCAACGCTCGAAGGCACCACGATTGTGTTGTCTGGTCTGGTTCCTCTCGGTGTTGATGTCCTGCAGTCCGAAATTGGAATTCAAGCCATGAGCTTTGGTGCCCAAATTCAGACCAAGGTGTCGCCCAAGGTAACGCATCTAGTCATCTCAACATCACGGCCACGCACACAAAAGGTACGCCAGGCAGCGAGGATTTCAAGCATCAAAATCGTGAGCCAAAACTGGCTGTCTGATTGCTTGAGCCAATGGCATCGCCTTGACGAGACACCGTACCTTGTCGAAGTCCATCCTGCAGACCGAAGGCACATTGCCGCCCCAGGAGCGACCGACGCCGATATGGTATCTGACGTGGATGGTGACGATCAATCAAAACCGCACCTCACCATCATTGACGAGACCGGGGAGCAGCGCATCCTTGAAGAAGACGACGATGCATCAGACGAAGACGAGGGCGATGCTGGGCAGGATGGAGGCGAGGAGAACCTGCTGCCTGAATTCGAGGATGGCCAGCTCAGCCCAATAGACGGTCTCAAAACTTTTGACTGGGAAGGTGTCGATGATGAGATGAAGGAATTCTTGGGCAGTGACGACGACAGCTCGGATGCCGACACGGAGAGCCGTAGCGGAGACACGGAGTCTGGCGATGAACTACCCTCGTCTCAGCAGTCGAGCAATTCAGCCGGTGGCACGAAGAGAAAGGCCGTAGACGATGACAACGCGTCAGATGAAGGCGGCAGTGCACTCTCCAAGAAGCAGCGAGTGGCCAAGAGCCGGGGCGCTTCGAAGCTGAGCTCGGTGAGGACGCCAAATGCAGACGACAACGAATCTAGCAGTCTGCCGACACCGCAGGTTACAGGCGACGAGGAGGATGTTTCCCTCGTGCCGGACGGAGGAGTGAACCTGGACAATGGTGCTGACTTTGACGAGGACGATCTCGAGGCGGACTTGGAAGCCGAGTTATTGGCGGCTGGGGAAGATTAGCGAGTTCTGTTCCAAATTTTTATCGATGAGATGCATATAAGACAACGCGGCAACTGGAGAATCCTCGCAGAGGTGGAAAAGTCGGTTGGCTATGGTTCATTCGGTTTATACCCTGCCTCTTTTTCCATTGGCGATGCATGGCAAGGAGTTGAGACGTGCAAATATCTGTAGGGGGATATATGGTTATAGTGTGGATTTGGGATTTCAAGTAGACGACCAGATGCACAGTCGGCAGCGGGCGGTATCTGCATCACGGCCTAAGGTAGTTCAAAATTCAGCAAAACTGAAATGCATTCTCCCGTGTTCTCTAGTCGGTCAAGTGAAAACCACAATGAGAGGCGCTTCATTGTTGAGGGGCAGTCACCTCGGTCAACGCGTGGTGAGCTTCGGTGTACACCATCTGGTGGGGCATCACCGACGACCTTACATAATCCCGGCCAATCGAGCGAATCACAATCGACCCGAAAACAATCACCTCAGGCACCCTCAGCCAGGCCAAAGCTTGACCCAGAATCTCGAGCTCGACCGACGTCAACCAACGCAGCCCACCACCCCCAGACGGACCGACACCGGTGTACATCGCAAGCCTCTCGAACGAGCCGAAACGAAGCCGGCCAATTGACTCCCACACGCTCGAAGGGACAATTGAACGAGGGACGACGACTCCCCCGCGAAACCCACAACCCACCTCAACCACACACTTATCGATTGAGCGCAGCCGACCGCGAAGGGTCGGTAGGATTGATTGAAGGATGCCTCAGGACATGCCCCCTGTTGGCGGCTACCAGGCCGTGCAGTACAAGGTGAGTGGGATTGCTGCGAGGAGGCAGGTGGTGCTATGCTACGATGGGATAGCCGGAAGAGGGGGATCGCGATTGGGACAGCGGATGCGATGGGACGGTATCGGACTGGCAAGAGGAGGAACTTGAAGGGCTGTTCGCCGCGGGAGCCATATCGTCAGGATTGGGGAGCGTTGTACGGAGTCGCGGGCTTGGAGTCAGGAACGGAGGCATTTGAAGCGGCATCGAGGGAGAATCGAGGACACGCTGAGGACTGTACGCTGACTGCTTGTCTCCGAATAGCGCAACCTGCCCTCCCGTGGCTTCCGCCCCGGCACCATGTTGCTCGGTATGGGACTCGTGATGGGATACGGATGGTACCACCTGATCAAGGGTATCCGGGAAGCCAAGTACGTTGCGACACCTGTTACCCCATTGAAGGCCCAAGGATGGGCCTACCCCAGCTATTGAGAGATGTCGACACTCTGTTTCACGAGTTGTGGGACACCGTTCGACAACAGAAAATAGCATGCTCAAAGTCGGCAAAACATGGGAAATGCTGACGACATATGCGCAACAGCGAGCTCGCAAGAGAAAAGATGTGGGCGCGCATCCACCTCATCCCGCTCCTCCAGGCTGAGGAGGACCGCGACCAGGTCCGCAGGTATTACGCCGACCAGGCGAGAGAGAAGGAGCTGCTCGGCGAGAACACCAAGGTCTACCACAACGACAGGTTTGTCCATCCCTCAGCAAAGCCCTTCAGAGGTCTACGGGAATACGAGAAGATGCTAATGGGGGTATGCTACAGATTTGTGCGTCCTACCTTTGCTGTTGTGCCGCAAAACAAGTCTTAAACGGCGAGAGGCGTGGAAAAGGTGGTGTTGAGGTGGGGATGGGCTGGCCAGAGCTGGCGTGTACATATGATTCCTTTTCGAGACGGAGAGAATGGAGATGACTTGCTGAATCACGTTAGTTACCCTTTCCTGTGTGAGATGACCGTGACGGGTATCCGACCGCGTCCGTGATCGAAACGGGACTGCGCTGGCGGGCTCCCACCAAGTCCCCAGTCCCCCTGGGCAGAGTAAAAATGCAGTGAAGCATAGGGGACCGCTGCGAGAGGGGCGCCGAGGGCTCAAAAAGCAAGTCTAAGACCTGACTGGTCGATTTCTTAAACAGTATTGGCGTAACGTTGGCTGGACGTTCTGGGACTGCAGAGTGGGAGTGATGCGTGCATGGTGACTGGATATCAAAGCTGCGCCTCTACGACGCTCGAGACATTCCTTACTGGGATTCGTCCCGAAGTTGAGCTTATGCAAATGTGTCAAATGCCTACGAAGCAGGCTTGCAACGTTTTCGGGTCCCTCAGTGATGGGCTATGTAAGAATACACTGAGCCCTGTCACTTCGTAGCGAATTCCTACATAGGATCGGATACCGTTCCTTGATTCCATCCAGAAAGCATCGGTCTCGAATCCTATTCATTGGCAGGAAAGGATGATACAGTGCGATAAGAACTTGACGCAATATGCTGTAGCAGCTTCGGAAGCCGGATGAATGGACTCAGGCTACCCGGTTAGATGATTTACTTCTCTCACACGACCAAGCTGTGCATGGAACTGTACCAGGCTCACAGGGGTCATCAATTCTGTTGTTGGCATCCAAATCAGATAGGCTGCTGTATTAGATCAAGTTGGCAATGGAAAGACATCAGTACAAGGATATGGTCTGCTTTTCGACCAAGGCACCGAAGCTAGGCACCTCGTTCATCAGCTCTTGACACTAGCCTCTCACAGCGAAACCAACATGGAACTTCAACGTGAATCGCCGATATCAAAACGCCCTGTTTAGGGCCACATATACTCTGCCCATTGATGGTCTCTTAATGTCGTGTTTCCCGCTCCCCGACCATTGCAACTTTGGGGTATTGATAGAAAAGGCTTTTTTAGAAGTCGGACCTGGAAGAGTCCGTAACATTAAGACTTCGGTAGCCCAACGAGTCCAAGGAGGGTTGGGTACGAAACGGCTGACCAGGCCTCGATTGCGTTTAGGTGATGTTCTGCCAGAAGACACACATTTGACGGACGCATTGTGCAACCGTTTCTTGGGATGTCATATGGCGGCTCAAGACTAAGATTACATGGCAGGATGGGCAAGAAGGTGTTTCCGAGACAGGGTCACGGAGTGCATGCCGACAACCAATCATCTAACCCAATCCAGAGGTCCTCACTGGGCGCCGTGGAAATGGAACAAGACATGCTCTGAGTACCTTCGATTGCCACGGGTATGTATCTTTTTGGGACATCGAGTGGCCCCGTCAGTTCCCCATTCCGGAGGCCGCTGTGCTGATCCAATCCTTTCGAAGCAGAGGCTTTCTTCCGCCCTACCGTCAGCGTCGAAAACTCGACCCCACTCGACCCTATTCCAGTTGGTCATGGCAGAAGGAACTCCATCAGAGCGGTGGGTTTTATGGCCTGCTCGTCAGGCCCTGGTTGTGAGAGGTGCGGGCGAGGTTGAACTTGTTCCCAGGCCTGATGGGACGCTCCTGCTACAAGGGCGTTGCCTTCAGAGCCAGGATCAAGCCAACAAGGACCAGCAGCCAAGTCTCGAGCATCCCAACATTGGATCTCACCGGAAAACGTGGTGGCAGCGGTGGGGTCTGACCGTTTCCAAGGGTTCATCGCGTCAGGGCTCAAGGCTCCATCCACCCTGACACGATTGACTTACCTGCCGGGACGTCTCCTGGCAAGCACCGCAGTTTCTGTTTAAGGTATTCAAGTTGATCTGAATCTAGTCCTTGCACAGATTTGGAACCGTGAATCCCGGTATGTCGCCGAGATACCGGGCATCTATCTGGGGGAGTTGACGCGCGAGACCCGCTGCATGGGCTTGAAATCAAGGAATTTTTGATTGTCATGACAGAAAAGCTATCCGCACAAACGACAGTATCAGAAAGCCAGCGAGCTACCAAACGCCTAGCTAGGCAATTGCCTCAAACAGCATTTCGCTTGCTGTACCCGTTACGTGACCTCGACTCCACGCTAGAATCACCAAAGCCTGTGGTCCACCGCCCACATCCCATTCCCAACGCCTCCTAGCTTCTTCCCCACTGAATGTAGGACCTTCCCAGGATTGAATATGACGGAAATTGCGCCGCCACTCGCATGCAGCTAGCTCTCTCGCCTTACTGCTGACCACCTCGACTCAGGCCACTTATCCTACCGGCCGGCCGGTCATGCTCCCGCCTAGCGACCATGGCTGTTGACGCTGTCACGAACGAAGTCAGCAGCTTCGGCCTGTAGCCAGGCGTTGATGGTTGGGTGTTTGCAATCAGCGTGGCCCATGAGCGCGTTCTTGACCGCCAGCACTTGGCGCCACAGCTCCGCGTGCTCTTTCTTCAGCTCCTCGTTACGGGTCTCGACATCCACCTTGACCGCCTTCATGAATTCAATCTGATCCTTTTGCTTCTTGTAACTGCGCGCCGACGCCGTGCGGTGCCGTTTGCGAGACTGTGACGAGTCTGAAGGGTGCGCGCTCTGCTCTCTCGACGGCTGCGTATCATCCTCCGTGACGCTTGGTGATCTTGAGAAGGGGACTTCCTCGTTGAAACTCCGCTTCCTCGCCCGAGGTCGGAAAGGAACCTCGCGGTTGGGTGTCTGCTTTCTTGGTGTCCGAAGCCGGGTCTTCACCGGGGATTTGCGAACCACTTCGGGGGAGGCCGGGCGAGACTCCGTCGAGCTGATCGTTATCGGTGATGCAATTGGCGACAGGCCGGGGCGCGTATGTGCAATGTCGTTCGACGGGGGAAACACGTCTGCAGAGCCTGGCCAAAGCATTGACTCAATGGATGAACCGTTTGAGAAGCTGCTTTGGCTGTTCTGAATGCTGCTCGAGGATTTCCTCAAGTATTCGGGATCGTTGGGAGATGAGACTTTCTCAGAGTGGTGTAGGTCGGCATCACATTGCTGAACATGTGTGGAGTCGCCGAAAGGGGTGTCAGGGTGGCAGTTGGGAGCTCCGACTCCAAACTGGTTGAAGGCTTCATCACAAGCCAAGTTCATGTGACCACAATAGTCGAGCATCGAGCCACCGACCTGTTCGTTGGAATACCCCGATGCGACGTGTTCATCGCAGTTTACCTGTTCTCCATGGAGCCCGGTCCCCGTGTCTTGGCCTATGGCGTTTTCCGTATGCTCCATAGCTGGCTGGGAGCTTGACCACGCCTGGGTAGGCGTAGACGAAGACGAGGCACTGAACGCGTTCGTCAGTGGCTGGTCTGAGGCAGTGGGACCTTGGGCTCCGTCTGAGGAGAAGTTCGAAGCTTCGGATGAGCGCATCACCTCACGACACCCAAGAATCTCGTAGATACTCTCGAGCGGCTCGCCCGTCCACAGCCGCTGGAGCACCTCCATGCTCTGGCCTGGGACTGACAGCGCCGCAATGACGGCATCTTTCTGGTGTTGCGCAGCCTTGAGGACATTGAGCTCAGCCTGTAGACTGCGCTTGGAGCGGATCCGCCGAGGTTCATATCTGCACTCGAGGTGTCTGTAAATGCATCTATGGCATGGGGTTTCTCCGTTGCACTAGGAGGCAGCCTGTTAATTCCTGGGCCGAGTAGACTGTACGAGTGTGAGACCATGTACCTTCGCCTTCTTGTCGCGACAATTCTCGCAAGCTTCCCGAATACATTCTCTTGGTGGCTTGAGGTTTGTGTTCATTTCAAACTCGGGCTTTGCTTCCAGCCTTCTCGTCATAACCTATGCTTGAAAGATTAGTGACGTTTTGCATGAGCGCCGCTCACACAGACAACTCACGTCGTATGTGATCTATGCGCGTCTTGCGACGATCGAGTTCAAAAATCGCTGTTGCCGCGGCTCTCAGCCCAAAGGTCTCATTGGTATTTCGTGCCACTGTTGCTGGGCGGTGGTCGCTGGGGGCTTTCAAAAGGATTGGCGGGTGCGTCACGGATTCCGAGCCAAAGATCTGGAGCTAAATGCTACCAGACTTCTTCGGCATTATGTTTTCAATGCGAGGAGCATCGAGAATCGCTCCCTGAGAGAACTCTCGGGCTAAACCCCCAACCTTATACGTTTAGGCTGTTTGCGTGGGATTCTCCTCCGCGCGGGAGACGATCGACGCAAAAAAGTCCCAACTGACAACTTAAGACTGTGACTAGAATAGCGGGCCCATGCAATCCGGGTTTGTAAGACTGAACCACAAGTGACGTCTGTCCTTGAACCGACATCCCCAGTCAAGAGGATCCAGCCCCCTCTTCTGTACGTGATACTTGGTACATGATACTTGCAAGAACGTGTCCCCGTGCGAGGGAGGAATGTTTGGTACCAGTGATGCAAGAAGAGAGCAGCGCGCCCTTCTGAGACGGCATTTCGGGCTCGTGTCTAGACTGGTTGAACGGCATATCTCTTTCGCCCCTGGGCCAGGGTATTTCAATGCGCCTACAGATTAGCGCACAGGATTCATTGGCCAGTTCTATGGGAAGACGTGGACGCGAAGAGGCAGGTATCGGTGAGAGGGCCCTTATAGGTCCGGAGGCAAGTCCAGGTCTGGCGATTTTGATATCAGTCGGCACCCAATGTCCTGAGAAGGGAGAGCCGCCATGAACTCCGAGCTCATCTGTCCAGTCAAAGAGCGCTAAGATTTGGCCCCCAGAATGGATACTCGTCCGGGGGCTGTTAGTTCGTGATTCTCGTTGGGCCATTGGAAACGCTACGGTGACGGAAGAGTCCCCGCGTGGGTGTGCGGATGGGCGAGGAACAAGTCATTTCCAGACGTCATAAGAAAAAGCGGGACGCAACTCGAAGGAGAGATTGAACAGTAGCCCGCCGCACGGCCTATGG